CGTGAACGTATGACGTGATTACCTCTTTGCGTCCATGCATGGCGCCATGAACACTGAAAAATACCTTTCAGCACGTATATTAACATCCCAGACTTATCTCTTTTAGTTTTCAAAATATATGTTTATCCAAGGAATAATATTACCAGAGCCCGTGGTATATCATTATATTTGCAGTACTGAAGAGTCTGTATTGGAGCGAAAATAGCAGGCCTTGAACATACATGTATCTTACTGTCTGTCCTTGTTGGTCCGTTGTGTTGTAGACTATATGTTTTCTGTGTTTTTTAGTGTGTGCCGTTTGCAGAATATACCTAAATTATGAAATGCAGGCGTGATGAACAAGCACGTTTATATAAAAGGCTGATAACACATTAAACTATATTTGATTCGATACCCCATGATGAATTAAATTAAAACACGCCGGCAACAAATCACTTACCCTTCTGGAATTAAAATCAAAGAGTTTACAAACTCCTCATATAATTGATGTGGTTTGTCAAAATCATTAACGGAAAAGCACACGGTATTTGTAAAATTGGCTGTCTAGGGGTTGTTCTTACCAACCAGACACATTGGCGCGGAAGAAAACAACATTTCTTTTGCAATCTATAACAACAAAGATGTAACAACTTTAAAATTGGCGTGAATACATAGCTATCAATTTTAACCATCGAATTCTAAACACATTTATTCACGGTTATGAGATCTTAATCAATATATACTTATATATGTGTGTCTTTTGGCTCAACAAATGATATAATGAAGACGATGACATTTTGTTAAAAAAATATTACATTGAATAAGAAAAAAACCAGTCTGGTTGAAAATAAAATGCTGTTATTAAATTACAATGAAGGACTTGGGAGCTTACGTTATTTTTGCAATAATTTTGTTCGACAAAAAAGTTTACAAAGATAAAATGTTATGAGAATAGTTAGAGAAGTAGTAATATCGACCATAAATTGACAAATTAAATATTAAACAAAAAGATGAAATCCTATCCAAACTGTAATTAATTTCTTTTTTTCTCTCTCATAAGAATATACTTCTTATTGTATAACAGGTGGCAATGGCCTAATATTTTTTCCATATTGAACCACAAATTCATTTAAATTTACCCTGGTAAATATTTCATAAAAAACCCATTTTCTAACCATGCATATTATATACGTATTACAATCAAGATAACTTTCTATTGTGTCAGCTATACCATCGCTTTATTGACATAAATAACGACACATTGAAAACACACACATGATCGTTATAGATGTCAATTTCAGATATAAGTTACTCCTGTCAAGGTTGAGATATCAATATAGGACATCCGCCGTTGATATTGACACGGTTTTGTGAGTTTTATGCAGTGACAAACCATTTGAGCTTATCGATAAAATTCCTGAATGATTCCTGGGGCTTGTCTGGTTAGTACCGTCGGGTCGGCCTCACACCTTACCTGTCACACAGGTATTCAGTGTTAAAAGAGATACCTGGGAATGTCACACATGTACCAGATACTCTCCTTTGTGTAGAGATGTAATAAACAGTTAAACTCACGCCCTTATCGACCTGTAGCCAGGTATCCACTTAACTAGATACCTGTTTTAGGCTTTGTGGTATACATTTAACCATTGTTATCAAGGACGTATACCTTATCCCTCGGTAAAACAGAGATATGAAAACAAAATTACAAAATTAGATTTGGCATTTCTTGACCGGGCTGGTCAAGATATGCCCAATCTAGTTCTGTAATTTTGTAACGATGGCCAATGTTATATATATCAGAAAACGATATACATAACTTATATACACGTTGACACAATATGTTTTGTTGTTTAATTATTCTATGGATGGGGGGGGCTAACTGAATAGGGTGGTAATATTCATGTACCTCTGTTTGTACGCAAATTACCGACAGCAGTTTGATATTTTTACACGAATGTAATATTTACTGAACATTACATACGTGTGTTAAACAAAATACCATAAAACGCATAAAAATACTCCCTACCCATCAGGATAAGTCTCAATGTCATAAAAATACTCCCTACCCATCAGTATAAGTCTCAATGTCATAAAAATTCTCCCTAACCATCAGGATAAGTCTCAATGTCATACAAATCCTCCCTACCCATCAGGATAAGTCTCAATGTCATAAAAATACGCCCTACCCATCAGGATAAGTCTCAATGTCATAAAAATACGCCCTACCCATCAGGATAAGTCTCAATGTCATAAAAATACGCCCTACCCATCAGGATAAGTCTCAATGTCATAAAAATACTCCCTACCTATCAGGCATACGTGTGTTAAACAAAATACCATAAAACGCATAAAAATGCTCCCTACCCATCAGGATAAGTCTCAATGTCATAAAAATACTCCCTCCCCATCAGGATAAGTCTCAATGTCATACAAATGCTCCCTACCCGTCAGGATAAGTCTCAATGTCATACAAATCCTCCCTACCCGTCAGGATAAGTCTCAATGTCATACAAATCCTCCCTACCCGTCAGGATAAGTCTCAATGTCATACAAATATTCCCTACCCATCAGTATAAGTCTCAATGTCATAAAAATTCTCCCTACCCATCAGTATAAGTCTCAATGTCATAAAAATACTCCCTAACCATCAGGATAATTCTCAATGTCATACAAATACTCCCTACCCGTGAGGATAAGTCTCAATGTCATACAAATATTCCCTACCCATCAGTATAAGTCTCAATGTCATAAAAATTCTCCCTACCCATCAGTATAAGTCTCAATGTCATAAAAATACTCCCTCCCCATCAGGATAAGTCTCAATGTCATACAAATGCTCCCTACCCGTCAGGATAAGTCTCAATGTCATTAAAATACTCCCTACCCATTAGGATAAGTCTCAATGTCATACAAATACTCCCTCCCCATCAGTATAAGTCTCAATGTCATACAAATACTCCCTACCCATCAGTCTAAGTCTCAATGTCATAAAAATTCTCCCTACCCATCAGTATAAGTCTCAATGTCATACAAATACTCCCTACCCGGCAGGATAAGTCTCAATGTCATACAAATATTCCCTACCCATCAGGATAAGTCTCAATGTCATAAAAATACTCCCTAACCATCAGGATAATTCTCAATGTCATACAAATACTCCCTACCCGTGAGGATAAGTCTCAATGTCATACAAATATTCCCTACCCATCAGGATAAGTCTCAATGTCATAAAAATACGCCCTACCCATCAGGATAAGTCTCAATGTCATAAAAATACTCCCTAACCATCAGGATAATTCTCAATGTCATACAAATACTCCCTACCCATTAGGATAAGTCTCAATGTCATACAAATACTCCCTCCCCATCAGTATAAGTCTCAATGTCATACAAATACTCCCTACCCGTGAGGATAAGTCTCAATGTCATACAAATATTCCCTACCCATCAGGATAAGTCTCAATGTCATAAAAATACTCCCTAACCATCAGGATAAGTCTCAATGTCATACAAATCCTCCCTACCCATCAGGATAAGTCTCAATGTCATAAAAATACGCCCTACCCATCAGGATAAGTCTCAATGTCATAAAAATACGCCCTACCCATCAGGATAAGTCTCAATGTCATAAAAATACTCCCTAACCATCAGGATAATTCTCAATGTCATACAAATACTCCCTACCCGTCAGGAGAAGTCTCAATGTCATACAAATACTCCCTACCCGTCAGGAGAAGTCTCAATGTCATACAAATACTCCCTACCCACCAGGATAAGTCTCAATGTCATACAAATACTCCCTACCTATCAGGATAAGTCTCGATGTCATACAAATACTCCCTACCCATCAGGATAAGTCTGAATGTCATACAAATACTCCCTACCCGTCAGGAGAAGTCTCAATGTCATACAAATACTCCCTACCCGTGAGGATAAGTCTCAATGTCATACAAATATTCCCTACCCATCAGGATAAGTCTCAATGTCATAAAAATACGCCCTACCCATCAGGATAAGTCTCAATGTCATAAAAATACGCCCTACCCATCAGGATAAGTCTCAATGTCATACGAATACTCCCTACCCATCAGGATAAGTCTCAATGTCATAAAAATAAATAAAGGATCTCGTACCTTAATTGTTCTCGGTTTCCTCTTGTCGGTAATTAACACACACTCATTATATAAAATACACATCTCTAATTCATAAAAGTTACAAATTACTTCTATATATTTACTTATATGTCATTATAGTCATATGACGTCATTTTATCTCTTTAGGCAAAGAAAGATAGATATCTCTCGTAGCTTCTCATATATAAACAATCAATTGGATTTTAAATGAAAAATATTATTTAATGAATGTTAAAATTATTTAAATCGTGCGCTTTAAACTTAAAGGCAATAAATCACGCCTTATTGATTATAAATGTCTGATCACATCATGACAACACCTCATATAGTCTACTCCATGCATGTATAATTCAATAGATTGAGCTATAATTTTAGAAGTTAAAATACCTTTTATTTACAATATTAGACATTTAGATCATTGTACTATTCCACTATATGTGCTAAGAATATGGGTTATTGTGATCTATCGTAAAAAAAAACAGTCAACAAAAAACGCACGTTATCGTGAAAATGTATAGTTTAAGTGTAGCTTGTTGTCAAGTTATCGAAAACGAATTTCAGGTGGAATAGCGTTATGGACGGTAGTGCTTTTGTAAACGAAAATCATTTTGACACATGTTAATTTTTCACCTGTATACACATGTCACGTGACTACTACACACTACCCTTTTTGTCTCGTTTCCGTTCCTTTTCTTTTTAATACAGTTAAGCACAAAACTGATTTTTCACTTTCTCAACCGTTAATTATACGATAAATTAGTGATATGTTATGTTTTAATATTACAACCGGAATTGATGTTTAAGAAAATACCATCCAGGTAGCTATTTTATGTCGGAAACGAGACATGCGCACTGTCGGTTCCCATCATAGTTGATTGAGCTAACTTGGCGACTGCCTGTGTGTAGAACGGTAGGCTTGTATGAAGTCGGACGGCTTCTTGTGTTTACTATGAAGACATGACTTGAAACACCAAGGAAAATGTAGTGTGTGGATTACTTTCAAAGTGTAGAAGAGGATTTGTACAATTTCCGTTGTGAAAATGACTTTTTACAAACAAGAACGGTGAAAAAATGTACACCGCTTGATAATCTCTCGTGCGGTTGTGTACGATACACAAACTGCTCAGGTGTGTTTGTATACGAGTCAGGCCAAAGGAGCTGTTAGCAGTTGTGAGACATGGGTGAACTTAGCGTTGTGTTTGGTGTTACCTCGTCATAAATGGTGAGAACTAGAATGAAGTTACTTACAATAACTTCGTGTTGTGTTTGAAATGAGTTGTATATTGAATAATAACAACATTGAGGCACGTGAACCGTCTGAAAACGGGCACCTGACATACAATTAGACAAGAATTGAACTACCACAAATTGGATTATAAGGAGAGAAAATATTTAATTTTCAGCAATCAAAAGTAATTTTTATCCATAAAGCTTTAAAATTGCTCCTGCCAAATAATTTCAACATTAAGAAAGTTGCCAATATTGTGTATTTAAAAAAGTATTGGTATGTACATGTTCTTAATTATGACTTCTAAATTAATTGATGTTCAATTATAGTAAATATCTATAACTATTTCAACAAGAATGGCAGTATCGAAGAAGATGGGGTTGTTTAAAGTTTTCTCCATTCTGCTACTACCCTTATTTTGTGGTGCTCAGGATAGTGAAACAACACAAAGCTTTATGATTGATGAAGAGAAACCTAATAATTCTTATGTCGGGACTTTAGGCGAGGGGCTTGATGCCACCTTTGGGCCGCCCTATACATTAATGCCTAATGGAGATAGTTCTGGTTTGAAAATTGATCTTACGAATGGAATTATAACAACAGCCTCAGTTTTGGATAGAGAAACTAAATCTGAATACAACTTCATTGTCATGTCCGTGCTGAACGATAAACTAATCCAAGCTGATGTACAGGTACGGGATATAAATGACAACAAACCCAGATTCAATGTCAGCAGTAGAATCGAACTTTCCGAAAGCGCAAATACTGGTTCTTCAATCCACATAGGAAGCGCTATTGACGACGACACAGGTGATAACGGCATTGTTTCATACGCAATAACTTCTGGCAATGAAAATGGAAATTTTGAATTAAAAGGAAAATTATCAAAACCGTTTTTATACCTGGATCTTGTTATAAAAAAGCTCCTGGATTTTGAGAACATTTCAAATTATGCACTAGTTATTAGTGTCGTTGACGGAGGTCAGAAAACAGGAAGTGTTATGATACAAATTCCAATTTTAGACGCAAACGACAACCCACCAAAATTTGATTTGAGTCGTTATAGTGCGCAGGTAAGAGAAGATCAACCTGTTGGCAAAAGTGTCCTGAAGGTTTCAGCAACTGACCAGGATTCCATGGAAAACGCAAGGATAACATATACTATGGACTATCAGAAAGATCCTGAAAGGCATTTTAATGTTGAACCAACAACCGGTGTTATTCGTGTTAACAAACCTTTGGACTACGAGAAAACCCCAGCCTTCCAACTTTCTGTTATAGCCTCTGATAATGCTTCGGAACCTTTGAGAGATACAACATCGGTCGAAATTATTGTAATTGATATTAATGAACAACCTGCAAATGTCAATCTGTTGTTTCTCTCAAATGAAACCACAGCAGGGCATATTCCCGAAAACACCAATGTAGGTACACCTGTCGCAAGAATTTCTGTCAGTGATCCGGACAACCCCAACGTATATTACTCTAATATCACTGTTACCCTACAAGGTGCAGATCCTTATTTTGGATTGGAAACCAGCAACAATGTAACCTTCATCCTTTATGTCAAAGCCGGACTTGACAGAGAAAGTTATCCGAATTTCAATATAACCATTCTTGCAGTAGATGGTGGATCGCCACCACTTCAAGCTACAAAATTCTTTACACTTTGGATTGACGATATAAATGACCATGCCCCACAATTTACGCAAAGTATTTATGAAGCTTCAGTGCTGGAACAGGCCCAAGAGGGCTCTTCAGTCATACAGGTTCAAGCCTCTGACCAAGATATCGGTGTTAACAGTCAACTTACATACGGAATTAAGTCTCATCTCAACAATTCAAACTGGTTCGAAATCGACCCCTCGTTAGGAATTGTGATTGTTCGAGCTCGGGATACTATCGACTGCGAAGAGAACCCAAATCCGTGGATTATTATTACTGCAACAGATTCAGGATCACCGCCACGAACAGGAAGTGCAACTGTCAAAATTACTGTCCTCGACGTAAATGACATGCAGCCACAGTTCGCGCACACCTACTATCAACAAATAGTACCAGAAAACGTTCAAGTTGGAAGCTGTATTCTCACGGTAAGTAAATGGCACCAATTTCTATTTCAGCTTCAAGAATTCAGAAAATATTGTTCGTAGAATTTATTACCTAAAAAGTATGTATCATTTCAGCAGCACTTCAAGAATGGTTACAATTTGAATGTAATGCAACATCAAAAGAAAACGCGTAATGTTTCTTTAAATTCATTCAGTGAACGTAAAATAGGGAGTTACATTGCCTGTACAGTTAATATCCTGCTGTTCCAAACTTTATAAAATGTTGGCCCGATTCAATACAAGATGGCTGAAAAGCTGTTTGTAGTGTATATAAATTGTATTGCGACATTAAATGTCGTTCATAAATTACACCCTCCACAAATGGCTGCCTTTGTGTGGCAACCAACAAGTAGAAACATTGCCACATAAAATGTCTCCGCACAAGATCGGAGTGGAAAAGGTTTATGCCTAATTTAGTCTTCTTGGCTATACTTTCAAAAGCCTCTTTACAAATCTTGTCTTCATTATGAAGTAAATTGTCTCGACCTAAAACATCACACATTGTGTGCCAACAAAACCTGACTGCATTACTTACTAATCGGAATAATATTATTTTCTAGTCGGAATAATATTATTTTCTAGTCGGAATAATATCATTTTCAAAAGATTTTGGGTATAAATTGAGTTGTTATACAGTTTTCCAACTTCTAAGAGGTTTTGATTGATTACCGGACAAAGAATCACATGTAGGGAGTGTTTATTTGACAACTTTTTCCCAAGAATTCACCAATGGCCCCAATCCAATTTGAAATCATTCAAGCGTCGAAGAACACTTAAATGACAACAAAGCAAATGATTCAAAAATTTCTGTTTGACAAAAAATAAGTCATCACAGTTTTGTTTCTTAAGTTTCTAAAGAAGCCGGAAGAGAGCTTTTTAAAAGGAATTTGAATTGTTTGGACAAAATTCATTGTTCATATTTTGTAATTTTAGGACAAGCATGTTATACATGTATTGACTTCATATGAACTGTCTTTATAAATAACGCAAGGATTGTCTGCAGGATGCAATATTCAAAAGCTGAAATTATTTTTTAAAAATTACAGTAACAAGAGGTTTTCCTAATGTTTGGCCATTCAACACGAAATAAAGTTGGATTTAAGCCACAATTATTTTGTTCCATATTGTAATACATATTGTACACAAAGTTCTGAATGTTGGACTGTGAACAGGGAAAATAGGTGATTAGATCCCAAGCTACTTTACAGGAGTTTAAAAGTGAATGTCTTTTAATCTGATTTTAAATTCTGAAATGTTTCTTATAATCTTTCCCAATTGGCATTATGCATGTCACCATTTTAATAACTAAAGCGTTGGAAATACTTCAAATGAGGTCAAAGCGAACATATCAAAAAAATAATGTATATTTTCTTACATCTTTGGTATTCATTAGCTTATAGACTACCAGGCTATTGATGTGAAAAAATATTGTGTACAAATGTATGTGTCATATATTTTAAAACTTCCGCCACGAATACAAAATATTTAGATGTTTTCCTAAAGAGGCAAATATGACCAATCTGGCAGATCTGATCTGCCACAAAACTTTGATAAGAAAATGAAAAATGTGTGTTGCCTAAATTCACCTGGATTTAAATCGAGGTAAAATCAATGTTTTGAAAATGATCTACAGGGGATATACATTTCACAGTTGGTTATTCAGTGATAGGGGTAGGCTGGGATCAGCAGGCGTCTCACCTGAACCTGCAGGTACACATCGACACATGCCAATAAACCCTATCATAACAATGGACACGGCTAAAGAGGATTAAACAATGTCAAGTTAAAAAATTTGTCATAAATTTCCCCAGGGAATACTTTAAAAGTTATGGTATTAGCGGTAATATAAAAATTGGAGTTAAATTATTTCAAAACAGACTTTCAGATTGGAATTCCTTAAGTTGTAATTATTGCAATTGTAAGCAAATATAGTGTATCAGTCAAAAGGATATTTTTAAAATAATGAGTAATTTAAGTTTGCATAAAGTGATTTCTATATCGTAGTACGTTATCAACAGAAAAGTAACAGCTTTCTACAATACAAAGTGTAGTCACATCTATCTCTGAACTTCTTAATATTTTCAAAACCCAAGAAAACTTAATTGTTTATAAAAATAAGTGCTACGCAGAAGAAAACATGACTTTAAGGCATGATCATTCCTTTATCATATTTAATCGCAAGATGTAAGATTTTGAAATATGTAGACTATTTTGCAAAATTGCCCTGAAAAAGTGACAATTGTAATTTTTAACTTTAATTTAATACCATGGCTGGCAGCTCATCAAGTCTTGCTTGTCGAAGCGATTTATCACTGGTTGCTCATGCAGACTTTAACTTTGATATTTTGTCATAATAAATTCACATCAAATAGAAAATTACATATGTATTATATGCAATGACATGGTCATACTGCATATTTCAATTTTTTTTTGATTTTCAATAAAAATTACACAAAGGAAATGTTGATGTCGAGTTGGTTCTGCGTGCAAGGGTCAGAATTGTCAACCAAGGACAAACAAATAATTCGTGATAAAACACCAGGATACATGTCTATGTATTACTATATATCAAGATTAATATACAGATATGTTTGTTACATCCGCGTCCTATACATGTAAATATATATATGTATACCTGTCTACTCTTTGGAGCTTCCGTTGGACAAAACCAGATCATTATTTGAATTCTTTTGTTTATACCCTGGGATAAAATGATAAATAATTTCTGTGTTCAGCTGTGAAAGCCCCTGGGGTCGATCTGCCCAGGTACATAGCTGGCCTATCCAGGTATCCATTGAACAGGTGATAAGGCCGATCAACAAATTATTGATCACTGGAACCCTTGTGGATTAGTTTATGACCTAGGGGTGCCTTATTTGGACAAATAAAATTGCTGATAATTCAACGAAGGTGACAGAAACTTAGTAGACTTTAGGTCATAGGTGGTCATTTATGATACCTGTATAAAGAGTTCGGACAGTCCTTATGAACTATTTATTGAGACACACTGCACCGCATTAATTCACCTCGTAAGTGGGACAGGTAAAATTTTATTTCACCTCGTAAGTGGGACAGGTAAAATTTTATTTCACCTCGTACTACTGATAAAGTCATATCTTTACACCGAGATACACAAATTTACGTATCATAAAGTAATAAAAAAATCTCGACAGTTTAACATATCATATAAGTTGATAATATTATCCTTATGCATGTACATAGTCAAACGTAATCACAATTTCTTTTTGAGATATATATATACACTGCCTGGCCATGTAGAGTACATATTGCTTATATATATATAGGGCTACGAATTATCTAAAATCATAAGTATCTCTTCTGGGTATTGGCGCATAAATATGATTACATCGCGGTCAAATGCACTTTTGAATTGATATTATAATTATATGATAGCAAAGTTGTTAAAGAAATTAGTAAATTTTAAAACTTCAAGCATATCAAAATTACATAGTTACGGTAACTTATATCTATATAATTATGGAAAAACAATATATATACACACTTGTACATGTGTTACTCTTCATAATAAATATACATAACATAGGTATAGAAGTGGTGATGTTTTGTGAACAAAAAAAAATGTTGAATGACTCGATCGTTTAGATAGGAAATCCACCTACCCGGGTATCTTAATGCGACCGTTGCATGAGTGAATTACATTAAAGAGAATTTCTAGACTTTGTTAGATTTATATAATCCGGTATATTGTTTTACATTGACGAGACAATTTTGCACTGGTGTCAACTCCTGGTCGTACCTGAAGGGTGAAAGACTATACCCAAGTGGGACTGTGTAATGTACCGTGCGGTAGGATTGGCGACAATGGGGGAACTCCATTTAGAGCTAAGTTTTGTATGGATTTGTACAACTCGAATCGGTCTCAAAAGGTTTTGTTGAATCAAGGGATATTTTTGTTCTTCCATGTCTAGAACTGTACATGTACAAAACGTGGTGTATTTAATAACACTTCAAGGATTGACAGATTTTTAAGAAAATGGACGTAAATTTCACTTCTAATAATTGAAGCTGAATAATTCTAATACTGAAAGGGTTGCCTGGTTTTAAAAGCAGTCCTAAACTTGGTTCATAACTGGTTCTTGTGGAAATGTTTGCTCCGTTTAAATGACCTGCAGGTCCAGTTTGGCATTTTTCTGGGATGTTTGCTCACCAACCAAAACCCTACTTCAATGGCCCTGTTGACACAAGTTTGTATGCCTATTCTGGGCCTGACAAGAGAGACAAACATCTACATAAGCAGCTCTTTATGTTTCATTCAAAGTGCATAACACTTACCCACAGGCAGTTTCTTAACTTTTGTGTTAAAAGACATCCTCAATTGATGTTTTTATGAAAGATTACAATGTTAAGATTGACCAGGAGGTCTGAGGCACTGGACAATGGTTTCTGTACTGGACATGGGCCAGTATGGTCATTATCTCCCCAAACATCTTCTTGGCAGTTGATCAAGTTTGTCAGGGCGAACTTTTTTTCTTGACTTCTTCTGTCAAAGATTCCTGTTGGTTTATTTTTCAAGGGAAACAATGATATTATCAGGTTTTATTTCCTACAGAAGGTAAAGGAAGACTGAATCAAAGACATATTCCCTTAGAGCTTAATTCGTGTATGAGTGAATGTGGGGGGATTAATTTGTAAAATAAAGAAAATATTTAGAAAGACTAAATCGTGTTGTTTGGCAACTAAATCCCATGTGTTGTTCTCCTATAAGAAGTTTGCTTTGGCGTAATTGCTTGTTACATAATGAGAGGTAACATGTTTGAGCGGGGATTATGTCAAACTTTCCAGGGTAAATAAGTACACAGGAATGAGCAACAATGGCAGCCTTACGCTAAATTTACTAAATAATCATGTACTTTTATGACGCATTGTTTGATGTGGACATTCTTGAGTACAGACAGGAGGAACGTGGATGGCCAAGCCTACACTTACAATGTCACGCAGGT